TTCCCGAGATATAGCGCCTTGGCTTTCCGGTGATCACGTGACCATGCACGGTGACTTGACCTCCAGTGACCCCGTCTGCCGAGTTCAAGCGTCTGTTAGTTTAGCTCGTACCCTTAACATTTTAAAGACAATCAATATCCAAAAAACATATGAGCCTCTTTAGATATGAATAATACTAATACATGACACATCCCAACAAGTTAACCATCTTTGACATTAACCTGTGGTTGTAATGTTTGTAAAATCACCGTGATTGTCAGATATATGGTTTTTATTTTCTAAGGTACGTTCTCCTTTACTTTCCCAACTGTGACACGCTGTTGCCAAACGCGTAACTGTGGGATACCATCGCGACAAGACCTCCGCAGCATGTCATGATAGGAACCCCATATATATCGCATGTATATCGCGGCAGTGTATATCACGACTGGCGCCTTGCTTCCATGTCATCCTGGCGCCGCTGTCGCAACAAAGGTCTCATATGAGGACATGATATATCCAGATAGGACGTGTTGCTATATATGGACTTTGTGTCGCGACATGGGGTCAGCATATCCTGTCAGGGTATGTCCTATCGCGATATATGCACTCCATGTCGCGACATGGGGGGGGGGGCGTTTAGGCTGGGCATGTCAAATCGCGATATAGGGCATTTCATGTCGCGACATGGGGTGGGGCTTTTTTGCCGGGGTGTGTCATATCGCGATATGCAGGCCCCATGTTGCGATATGGCGGCGGGGCGTTTTGTCGGGGGTACCCCATATCGCGATATGCGGGCTCCATGTCGCACATGGGGGCGGAGCGTTTTGATGGGGTATGTCATATCGCGACAGTGGCGCAGTGACAGTGATGCGCCAGTCGCAAGGGTATCGGGATGTGTTCGTGATGCACACACTCCAATCGTGACATGCTATCGGAGTCGTGAACGCGCTGTGGATGCCATGACATTCTTTGTCTGCTATTCAGTTTTGACCTCAGTGCGACTTCTCTTAGATTGATAAGTAATTGGAAACCAATGGATGTGTTACTGTACATCCTGCGTGCTCATACATCACACACGGTTAACCGGGGCTACAGTATTTGGACCAAAAAGAACATCCATCTCCTGTGTATCTACATGTTCCCGGAACTTCCGCTGTGGCGCTGTACCCAATCAGAGTGTCGATTCTCACTCTTCACCCAATCGCGACCCGAGCTGTTCGGGGGTTTAGCCAATCACGGGCCTGAGAGCTGTTCAAGCGAGCAGCGCCAGGTGGATCGGCTTGTTTACTGTCAATGAGAATCTATTTTTAAAATGCATCGGCTTATTTTTTTAACGTCTTTATTGATTCACAATGTCCCGTACTCTTCGAAATAAATACTTTTTTATGTATTTTAAAAATACCGTTTTTCCCGTTGCTTTCTGTAATGAATACATGGTATTTGAACAATTTTAAACGTATATTTAAGGTAGGGAAAACACCTTCTGCTTTGTACTTAAAAAATGAATAGAAATGTAAAGTCTATGATCATTATATTATTATGCTCGTGCTTTCAAGTTTGTTTTTTATTGTTAAATTATATCTATCTTGAAACTAATACGTGAAAATGTGAATATGGACTCTCGTGTTGTACCAGCGGTAATTTGGAAACTGGTGTCTCTTCACCAATGAAAGGAGTACATAAGCAATACATTTTCGAGAACATGGTTAAAAATTAAAAGAAATCACCTTACCCAATGAACTAACATAGTAACTCCTCCCTAAATGTAAGACTGTTTATTCGTGTAAAGGCTGCAAAGTCTGGGGTCAACTGATCAAAAGATCACAACTGAAAGATCTGGAGGTCGTGACTTTGCTGTTTTGTGCATTGAAACATCCACCCCACCCGACCAGACAGACTCGGAAAACAAATTGCCCCCATTGTTTTCATCACAATCAGGAGTTCAAGTACCGAGTTTGTTGGTACCTGTAAACTTCCTTGTAGTCACGTGTTTACCCGAAAACCCAAGGCGCTATATCTCG